GCGAGCAATGGCACTACATCCGGGAGGCTCTTTCTCTCGAAAATGTGGTGGTCACCTCGTTGACAAGGATCCCCATATCACCAAACTATAAGGGGTGCGGTCCCAGGCTGTTAAAACTTGTGTTACAGTCAGAACTAATGGCACAAACCCTACTAGCGAACTGGATTAAATTCCGTTGCAGATTGCCAACAGAAATTCGTCTGAAAGCAGCAGGAACACCAACACCTTCTAATGACAATTCAGTAGAGGCACAACTCTTAATGAAAACGCCAACTGCAGGACCCGACTCGGGGACGGTTTCAAGAGTAGCCATACTATCCGGAGGGGCACAGCAGAGCACGAGCAAACACCGGGATTCGGGGCATCTGATACCTGCTTATATATCAAATACTTCTCGAGAGTATGCAACCCATCCAAAAAACGATTAGTCGCCGACCCTTTAATGGTCGGCGTAAACTCATTTGCTTCATCCATCCAATCTAACACACTCTTGGTCTCCGAGAAGCTCTCATGCATGTACACAAATGCCCAAGGTCTACTCAGCAAATTAGCTGAATTAAGACTTCGACACGCGTCTGCAGCTTGGGACCTCATCGCTGTCACCGAAACGTGGTTGCGCTGCGAGATAACGGATGCTGAAATTGCACTAACGGGCATGTCCGTTGTCCGGAAGGATCGAACCAGCAAAGGTGGTGGGGTAGCCCTTTATTTTCGTAACAACATGCAATGCGAACGCATAAACGATTCGGAAACTGACGTACCTGACGCCATTTGGTGTAATTTCCGGCTAAGAGGGAACGATCTTGGCCTATTGGTTGTTGTTTACCGCCCACCATCGTCTACTCCTGAGATGGACTGCAATTTGATGGCTGCGTTGAGGCAAGTGATAAACAGGAAGTACAGTCACATTCTAGTCACCGGTGACTTCAACTTACATGCCCTCGAATCCCAGGCCACACCAGGAGAGCAATTCAAAGCAGATTTGCAAGATCTGGTTTCAGACTACCCTCTTTATGGCCACGTCACTACGCCCACCAGATTCAGGGGAACTGACAGGCCATCCATGTTGGACCGAATATTCACCAATGAAGAATTAATGGTCGAGAGAGTAATAACCGATACTCCTTTGGGCCGCAGTGATCATGCGACGCTATTGTTTCATTACATGTGCTACGCGGATTATCCTAAAGAGCATGCCGAGGAATATCGTGTCGTAACCAACTATGAAGACCTGTCCGACCTCATTGATGCAACCAGCTGGTCGTTCTTAGCTGAATTAACCCCTGAGGTGGCCTGCGGTGAATTCGTCAACATATTTACCAAGCTCGTGGCAAGGACATCTGAAACCAAACTCTACCGGCCTAAAAGGATGAAGTCTTTCGTAAGGAGCAGGACACGTAAGTGCATGGCATTAAGGGACTTGGCATGGCACACCTATATAGCCTCCCCGAACGACCATACCTGGGATGTCTACACAATACAAAGGAACCACTGTGTCAAACTCGTCCGGGAGGATAAACTTAAGAACCAACAAGGTCTAGTGGAAAAGTTTTGCTCCAATCCCAAACTGCTATACAGACACGTAAACAATTTGCGCCGTGTTAAGCGCGGTATTCCTGCTCTGCACACAGCATGCGGGTTAGCCCAAACCGCACAAGAGGCGGCCAACGTCCTTGGACAACAATTTGGCCGTACCTTCCAAAGCGCGCAATCATCATACATCCTGCCTAAGCAGATAACGCCGCCATCAGGGCTTAATCACATATCGTTCACCTCCGCAGCTGTACTGAAGAGGCTGATGTCTCTGCGCGAGTTCAGCTCCCCGGGTGCGGACGGCATTCGACCGAAGGCGTTGAAAGTTGCTGCCATGAGTTTGGCAGGACCATTAGCAATTTTCTTTCAACGATGTCTGAACGAGATGCACGTCCCCACGATGTGGAAGCACGGAATCATCACGCCTATCTACAAAAGTGGTAGCCGTGCTGAACCAACAAATTATCGCCCGATAACACTACTTCCTGTGATCTCCAAGGTTATGGAGTCCATCGTAGCTGAGGCTTTAATGGGGTACCTGGAGAACAACAAAATTCTCGTTCCGGAACAGCATGGATTTCGCCAAAATCGCTCCTGTACAACTAATCTCTTGATTGCTCGTGCAAACTGGACGGAATCTGTGGACGCTGGTGCAGGAGTCGACGCGGCCTACTTGGATTTCTCAAAGGCATTCGACCGTATAGACCATCGCATTCTCCTCCACAAACTCCAGAAATATGGAATCGGCGATCCTGTTCTGGGCTGGATAGGAGACTTTCTCGTGCAACGTCACCTGAATGTGAGGGTTAGAAGCAACCTGTCGGAATCCATCGAAGTTCAGTGCGGCGTACCTCAAGGCTCGGTACTTGGACCCCGCCTGTTCCTGGTCTTCATAAATGATCTCGCGAGTGTGCTATCTTCTAACTGTTTGCTATTTGCTGATGACCTAAAGGTATGGCGCACTATAGCTGCAGTGGAGGATCACACAGTGTTACAGGAGGACCTGGACAAAGCGTACACATGGTCCATCGAGAACATGCTGCATTTCAACGTCACCAAGTGCAAAGTTCTCAGTATACGGCACAAGAGTATGCACAAGTACCGCCTAGGACCACAAATTCTACAGCGGGCTTCTCACGAGTGCGATCTCGGCGTGATAGTTCAAGATGACCTCGGTTGTTCGAGGCAGACTGAAAAGGCAGCTAAGAAAGCGAACCAGTACCTCGGCCTTCTTCGCAGAGCCTTCGGGAAGTTTGACCCTTCGATCTTTCCAAAAATGCTTAGTGCGTACGTGAGGCCGCACGCGGAATACGCTATCCAAGCGTGGCAACCCTGGCTCAAGCACCATCTCACCGCGCTCGATACTGCACAACGTAGGGCAACGAAGAGCGTCAGAGGTTTGACCAGCCTCCCCTACCCACTCAGGCTGAAGACCCTCAAAATATACAGTGGACGTTATCGGCGTCTAAGGGGCGATCTCATAATGGTGTACCAGATCCTGAGAAACCCCAACCACCCATGCCATTCCCTTCTAATACTCAGTCAAAACACCTCGCTAAGAGGTCACCAGTTTAAGTTAGTCACGCAGTACAGCCGCCTGGAATGTCGGCGAAACTATTTCTCCCTTCGAGTGGCACAGCCTTGGAACGCCCTCCCGGAACATGTAATTAATGCACCCACCCTATCCCTTTTCAAAAAACGCCTTGACGATACCCTGTCACATTTACACTACGTGCTATAGCTCATGACCACCAGATGCTGGCACTAATGCACAACAGACAGGGGATAGTGCCATAACCCTACTCGAGAATGAGTCACTCCAAACGCCTTGCACGAAATTTGATAAACGCTACTACTATAGAAACTGGATTTCTGTATCCTGTCGACCCAAGATAGTTGCACACGAGTAAGCGTTGTCCTTGCTATCTTTTTTATTTTTCTCGCCTATGATGTGAACAATAACCACTCCCCTGTTGCTTTGTGTGCGTACATTCTCATTTCAAACTCCCTTTATACGACAGTGCAGTTACATCTGTAAGCGCCCGAACTGACGACTCCATTATCCCTTCGCTATCTTTTTTGTCACGCTAAACACCCTACGGGACATGTCAAGCACCTGCTTTTTTACCCGTTATAAATCATTGTTCATTGTTCAAGTACTTCGGAATGATCCGCCAAATGAACCACGAGTAATTTGAGGTTCACGCATCATGCGTCATGCATTTCACATTGGATGCATGATCGATGGGAAAACAAACCGGTGACGAGTGCTCATGATGTATGTTTTGATCATCTGAATCTTCGATGGAATTATCTGGTGTACCGTTTGCCTAAAGTCACGACAAGCCGGGGGATTTCACTAGGTACTTGATATTCAGGCAACGAAAGTTTTGAGGTTACAGTGGAACGACCACATTTTCCTATCTGCAAAATTTTCGTTCGCTGTGGTCAACCATCTCGGACCAAGGAAATCCACTGCAATAAACGAAGATCGGTCGCTACTACCTTTGATAGGTGGTGCTATATCCCTATTAGCTTGCAACTTATACGGCCTGTCCACTGCCTCCCATGGCTCAATAGCTTAAGCTGCTGGCTAGTTGGCATCTGCCTCTAGTGGTCATAGGTTCGATCCCCAGTAAGTGGACTGACAGAATGCGCACCCCTGACGAGCCCCAATAGGGCGAAACGCGTCTGGTGCTTTTGCGGACTAGGCTGTGCTATGTAGCTTATGAACTACGGGGATGAATATCTCAACAAAAGCAGCCTTTTTTGTATCGCAACCTGTCATGATATTGCGAAGTGCACCGGTTGCTTATCGGGCGGCTCTCTATCGATCCGATAAAACATTGTATTTCGCAATTTTATCACTGGTCAAACTGTTTGTGAGAATGCACCAACCGTCAGGGTTCCCTGTCGAAAACTGAATAGAAATTTCTTTTACAAGCAGTGGCATTGCAAAGTTTAATCAAAATGACACTCGTATGAATGATGGTTGAACGAGCAGTGTAAAGATGCCAAAAACAGGACACCGTAACAATGCGACAATCTAGATGACGGTAACAAAAAAGAGAGTACGATGCTCGGAAAACTCCAGAGGAGCAACGTTTGTAGCAACTTGGACGGCATAAGTGAACGCGTTAAAGTAGATCCACAACAAATTGCTGCGGCTAAGTGGTAGACCGCCATCTTCGTAATATTACGGCGTGGTAATCCAGAAAGCATAGTAGACGGAATGAACCAGCACGGCTGCCAACACTCTGGAAGTGAGTCTCGGTGCTGGACATGATGTGCGGGGAAAGGGTGTAACGGAGAGGGTGAGAAAATAATATGGAAATCAGTTAAACAGAGCATATTAGATCCTGACTCTATTCCGAATTGTAGTTCGAAAGTTACATGTTATCAACTGCTGCCGTTAATGCAGTGTTACGCAAAAAAATTCGTGGAGTTAAAAAAGTAATCTTGCAGCCTCATATGATAATTAGACAGTTAGTTATCTCATCCGCTGACCCAATGCATAAAGCAAATGCACAACTCCTGTCAAGTATCAAAACATGTTCGGTCATATATGGGGAACACCCTGAGCAACACTCACCCCATGAATTGGTGTGATCGGGTATCTCGGTCACGTTACCCTCGGAGATGTAAACGCCACTTGACGTCCTGCCTGCTTTCAGCAGCCGGGATGCAAGCAATGAGTGCAAACAAAAAATCGGTGCGTAAATTTTTGAACTATTTTTGAAATTCCGATGAAGGATGCATTAACTGCAATGACAATACTCTTGCACATAACACAGTTGGGTTTCATAAACGATTGTGGGTTTCCACAAAGTGTCAGTTAATGGGGATAAAAGTTGCGACGTTCCGTATGTACCAGACTACGGTAAAATGGGTAGTTATCTCCGACTTTAAGTTCACCGACAATATTGGCTCGATCTTCAAGTGGAAGCAGTCTGACTCGACGCGTGTGACATATAACTGCGGTGTCTTCAAACATTTTTGAAAGGAAATTCGGGTTAAGAACGGATGAAGGATGTGAGTGACCATTTTAGAAATCCACAAAGCTGAGTTCATTAGTGATATATGGAATATGAGCGAAAGGTACAAATTCAGCTTGCCATTGAGTGAAGACATTTCCACTTTACAGCAGTACAGAGTGAAGTAGTTGCGCATTCGACTGCACTTCCATCAGTTCTCTCCTATTTCAAGCTGCTCGACTAGTTATAAGCAGTTTTAGTATTAGACGTATGCGTAGCTTCATTATCCTGTCCATTTTCTTGTTTGTGCTCTGCGGAACTTGGACGATTAACCATATCAGTCGTACGCGTAAGGCGGATTCAAAGGTCACGTAAGCGCGGTACTAAAGGCGAATGTCACGTATCTGGACCGTTGGATTCCGCATCAAGTCTAGTGGATTTGACTGTCCACCTCTCGGTTACAAGGTGAATTGGTCGTCCTCAATGGCAACACAGCGCATTGCGCACCGCGTATGTTTCTGCGATACGGCGATAAGATGTAAGGCACACAGTTTAGCTCCAAAAGATACGAGTACTAATCGCGCTCGTCAAGCTACTTGCAAGCATTGTAGGCAAACATGCATGTGTGGATAATTGGTTTAATAACTGCTTGAAATACAAGAGCAGACAGAATGTAGCCGCAGCCATTTTCCTTGGGCGCCCATTCCAACATAAGTATGTTTCGACGGCGTTCTACTGCCTAGTATGAGAAACATAGTGAGAAGAAGGCATTCTCCTGTCTCAGCATGTCGCGAACCAAAGAAAAATTTATTGCACAGGATATAGGTAACGGTCATTATGCTTCTAGTCGAACATCACGTGCACATTCCCTGGAATTCTTGCACCATTTTGGTAGCTCACCTCCCTTAATTTAAATCCCACCCAGCAAACGATTAGATGTGTATGAGATTAGTGAGCTGACAGTCTTGAGTAGCGCTGAATAAACACAGCTTCAAACGAGTTTCAAGTAGTTACGGTGAAGCTGCTTGGTTTTTGTTGGGGTTATAGCCGACTTAACCCCAGCCAAATCCAGCGTTTGAAGAACCGAAGCCAGATGATGCCACCGAACGGTGTTGGAACATGTTAGTGTGTGACAAAAATCGAACCAACATCATGTCCCGAGTCCAGCGTACAACTGAATACAGATGAGTATGTACGGAGTTGGCATATTTTCAGCAAACCCAAGAACCTTGTGTTGGTTTTGTATAACAAAATACTGTTCTTGTCGCCAGGATCACCAAACACTTGTGAAAAATCTCGCTTCATATAAAACCACACGTCGCAACTATCATACAAGCAAATTTGTGCTACTGGTTGTTACCCTCTTGACCGGGGTACTTTGTCCGGTTTTATGTTCACTTCACCTATTCACACTACTTGGCCAGTATCGCGTGTTCTGGGATATGGCTTCACACCAGTCTGGGGTCTGTCTGAACTCATTTCAATTAGACCTCCATTTACGAAAACAACATTATTGAACCAAAGGTTAAAAGTAGTAAACATAAAACTAATGAAACCTGTCGTTGATAGTAATATGCATCGTACCTGCGTTTATTTCGTCATCATTGGTCTCCACTGTTGGAGTAGAATTTGTTTCACTTGTTCTTGTGGTGGATGTTGTTGCGGTTGGGTCCGTCCCTATGTGGGCCATGATGGTGTAAGCAGGAATGATAATGTGGACAACTTGACAAATTACTTGGTTCACTAAATCCTGATGTATTTCTATAAGCTGCCATAGACTAGTTGAGTCAACGTTTCTGAAGTGTATAACAGCAGCGAACTGTTGTGCCCGTAAAAGCAGAAGAGTAGCTCAGCAAAGTAAACGGATGCATGACGGCGATCACACGACTGCGATTGTAACTAACTTCAGAAATCACCAATTCCACCTCAGTATTTCACAAGTCTATAATCGTGACCCACGTTCGTTTTTAGTTTATCCTTATGTAGCCTAACCGGGTTCGAATGCATACAGTACTATAGGCGCACCCGATTAACTATGAACAGTGATTATTCACGAGTACAGAAGCATGTGCTTGTTATGTCCCTTAGAATGGTTGGAGTGAGTATTAAACGAAGCAAAGGGTAAGTGAATCGCTATTTTGAGCCTCTGCCGATGTAACTACAATGCTGCCTAAAGATGGTTTGAAATAGGAATGGAATGTTCGCGCACAAAACCATATGGAGGGCAGTTATATAATAATTCACCTACTTCGTGAGGAATCATAAAAGGAAATGAAAACGCTCACTCCTGTGTTGCTTCATTTGACTGATGTGATACGCTAATCCAATTTAGGTACATCCAAACTATTCACCTGAACTCTGTTGCGTGCTTATTAAACATCACATTGCAGAGGGGGATGTTAAGCACATAGTTTGACCCGCTTTATTTCTTCATCCGATTGAAACAGACTATATCAAGTAACCCAAGTGGAAAATGGGTCATTAAGTCCTTTTATGAAAAGCGTTAATGTAGGGACAAGGATGACGTGGCTTGGAAGGGTATTCCATGTACGGGACACCGGAAGGGGGAAAATATTTTATCGCCAATCAAGTCGACTATAGTGCATGGCCACTTTGAGCTGTCGTTCACTCGATTTGGCATTTTCTCTCAGGTACAATAGGTCACGATATGCATGATTTGGGTTCGTCATTATTAAGTAAACCATGATGAGATCATCTTTTTGACTTCGATATTCACCATTGTAAAATCTCAGGGCTTGCAGTCTGCGCTGGTAGGGGAGGGGAAACAACCCTCTAACGAGATTGGTCGCTGTACGTTGTGGAGCTTTAAGTACACCAACACCGCGCTTGCGCCAGGGAAGCCAGGTCTGGATCACGCATTTTACGTGGGGCCTCATTTAGGCGTTCAGCATATGCGGAAAGATTGATGGCTCAAAATTCCAGAAAGCCCTCCGTAAGTGGGTGTGGCGCTGGCTGGCTCTTTCCATGTCTTTTCGGCCGGTCTCGAGGAGCGAAGGTAATTCCACACGATCAAGTGGCAATTGGTGGTCCCCAATTTGATAATCCAGTGTAAGCGGCGTGCATATACTTATGACCTTGCATTTCGTCATGTTGATCTGGAGCCGGTTTCCTGTTGGCAACGTATAGACCCTGCCGAGACCCCTCTGCAGTGCCGTATGATCGTTTACTGTCTTGATATCATGGCACATTTTGAGGTCGTCTGCAGGTGGAAAGAACTTCGACTTGCGTACCCTAGAAATGTCGTTGATGCATACTTGAAATAAACGTGGTCCCATTACTGATATTTGAATCGGAAATGGAACTGAGTACTCACACATTTAGCTGACGTTGAATGAGAAAGCTGCTTATCCAACCGAGCACAGGGTCACTGACCGAATAGCTTCGAAGCTTGCGTAGGATAGTGAGGTGGACCAGGCTATCGAACACATAGGAGAAATCCAAGTAGGCGATATCAACTCTTACTCTTGCACCGAATGGGTATGTCCAGCTTGCAATGGTTATAAGCAAGTTTGTATTGTAAGACCGTGCCCCATACTGAGGCTGGTGTTGCATTATGATGCTACTTCACCGCAGTTGGGCTAAACCAACTTACACTTAAACTAGGTATTGTTAAGCTGCATAAATTTCATTCTAGTTTATTTGGTTAGTTTTGCCTATCTGAATAGTCTTCTATTAGCTGGTCACGTTGCTTACGCTAATTGCGCTTATCTTCGGCAATTTTGTTGCGTTTGTAGCATTTTTGAGTAACTTGTGGACATTTTTTCCTTATCGCGGATTCATTGCTAACCAACTTACTTCATATGGGAATTTAGGGAAGAGTTATGTCACCGTAGCTGTATGCATTATTGGATTTATTTTATTTCGTTTTGTCGTTTCTAGTGATTGGCTGTTGCTTGATATCCCCGATGTGGCTGCGTTTGATGTGCATGTTGACAAGGTGCCTACCTGTCTATTACCCACTACCTCGTCCATACGGGCTCCAGGAGTCAGGTGGTCGTTGCTGGAGGGGACGGGGTGCACGGTCCTTGTGGCCGTGCTAGGCTCGAAGAGCGGTTCCATGCATTCAGTGTGGAGCGGACTACGGTCCAGCCATCGTCTGGTGTGCGCTTGATTCCCACATAAAGTCTGCTTGAGTTTGCCTGTGAAGGAGTGTGGGCCAGCTCCGGTGATGAAATGTAGCTCCCATCCACATGCCTCCCGGTCTTATTCCTTCGCGTTTACACTGGGTATGGGGTGTGTGCTTGGAGCTGTTGGTGGTGCAGGGCAAGCGACCCATTGTCCCTCTGTAAGCGCAGGCGCCCTGCGGCTGGCCACAGTGACAGGCAAATTCAAAACCGGATGCGGCCAACAATTGTAAGACCGATTTCGTCGTAAACTATGCTGCTGTGACACTATGAAGTTGCTCTTAAGGTGTCCCATGAGAGCCTCCACGATAACATGTTCGGTAATCTATTTCGAATCACGAAACAGAGAGTGTTGTCACAAGCAATTGACGCACACCATAGCAAACTTCACCATCCAAAAACGTATCCCCAAAGTTGCATAAAAGGTCCAAAAATTTACAAAGAAAGTCCAAAACTTTGCAAAGAAAGTCCGTGATGTTGCAAAACCCTGTGCGATTGGCCAGTCGCTCAGAGCCAATCCTCTGACCTTAAGTGTGTTCTCATTGGCCGGATGCCAAGGTTTGGTGCGTTAGTCTGGGGAGGTGAGCGCGCTGCCCGTTGACTGGGTGAGACTTGTGAATGAACCTTAGAGGAATGCACTTCGACGGTGCAACAGGCTTGTATGCGCCCCCCTCATGTCCGAAACGATGGATCACAATTGGTCTGAGAGCAATGGACAGCTGGAACATGAGCGCACGACCGAAACAATGTCTATGATTCTAACGTCGTCTGCATGCCTTCTCACGCTCGACAGAGTATCTCGTCAGACATTCGTGACCGAGTTTTGGGCGCTTTCGTCAACGGTGATGACTGGCAGCTTGTGGCAACTGTGAACAACATCAAATATCAAACAGCCTACTCCTGGATTCTCCGTTCTCATGATCAGAAGCCGAGTACTACGCAGGCGCGCGGTCGTAAACGGATTTTGTCGGGGGAAGACGTAGATGACATCCTGGATTGGATCGCAAGGGACTCAACTCTTACGCTGCGTGAAATGCGAGTACGAGTACGAGCAGAAATGGAAAAGGACATTTCGAAGTCAACAATCGCACGGCACCTAAGTGGTCGATTGATAACTATGAAGAACATCTATCAGGTTCCCGAGGGAATGAACAATGAGCGAAGCAAAGGGCTACGCAGGGAATTCGTTCAGCAGTTTCTCCAACTTGAGAGCGATGACAAGTTATTCATTTGGATTGACGAAGCAAACTTCAACGTTTACTACAGAGGAGTGAGGGCCTGTTGCAAAGTTGCCAACAGCAGAGGGCACAATTTGCATTTAATCGGTGCACTCAGGATGGAAGGGAAAGTGTCGATGACGACCTGGAGAGGCTCATTCACAGGTTCCCTACCTCTCGAATGGCTGCGAAGCTATTTAGACAATCTGAAACGGGAGATGGAGCTCCGGCAGATTGTCGTGGTACGTGATAATGCACCATGTCACACACGAATGGAATAACTGTCGTCAGTAGATGGATCCGATGGAGTAACCATACTGAGATTGAGCCCATACTCTACGTTCCTCAATCCGATCGAGAATGTTTGGCAAGTGGTGAAGGCCAGAGTGAAGAACGAGATGAGAGTGCACTACGAAGAACTTCTGACCGGGAATCCCCAGAAACTCATGACGCAAATGGAATGGAGGCTGCAGTTCCTTGGACGCATTGCCAAAGCAGCCACCAAGGATATCAGCGTTGTGGGATGTGGTAATGCTATTCGACATATGCGTGTACATTTTACTAATTGTCTAGAAAAAATGACATGTTTTGATCACGTTGCTGGCCTATTTTTTACGTATCTGGTTGTATAGCACGTTACTGGCAGCGCGTAGGGACGTGTGAGTATTCCCAGTGTTGTCAAAATATGTTTGCACCTACGTACGTTTGTGTGTTCGTACGGGGGTTGAAAAGATATCTGATGTCTAGCGCAATGGAGTGACACGGGACCGACTTCCAGTGAGCCATGCCCGAGTGAACTGTTCAACTTATGGTCCTTTTCGTGCTGGTATTCGCTGCGCCGTACTCTTTCATGATCAGCCTGAGATAATGTAGATACAGTTTCTTTGTTCGGAAAACTAGGATGTTTGGGAAACGCTTTGTAGGACCAAGTGAGATTGCCGGGTGAAGCAACCGTCAGATGTATCACAGTACAGGATATCAGCGTGGATAGTTGGGTGGTAGGGAATAAGAAATTACTGCGCACGTCATGTCAGGCTTTTCCAAGAGTGAGAGGAACTGACAGATGCGAGTTCGCAAACACGTGCATTGCCAGACAAGATGTTGTCATTGAATCTGAACGAATGAATCGCGTGTTTAATAGAAACCGTCTCTGTGCGATGTTTGTCCGCTGTATTTGAGTGCACGGGCGCGTTAATTCGTCACCCGATTGGAAGTTGGTCTGTCAAGTTGGGAACCCCCATCAGCCGATTCGGAAGCTGTACTTTAGATTTAAAAGCAACCATTCCTACAGTAAGCCCAATTTAATTTGTCTGCCAGAAAGTCCCGAA